GATTGCATTTTAAAATTTCAAATGTTTTTATTTTTCTGGTGAATAGATGAAATATAGAGACAGAGCAGCTGAGAGGAGAGAAAAATACGGCATCCCTGAACCCCCCGCACCCAAAAAGAAGAAATTTAGCCAACCAGCCCCGGTCATGTAAGTAACTTTGCTACTGATTTGTGTGAAATGCTGTTTTCCAGTCCTTGCAGGCATGTAGTTGTGTTGTGTTTTTAGCAGTATGTTTAAATGATTCAAGCTGTCCTTTCTTCCTGTGCAGTAACTATGAGCAGCCCACTAAAGATGGCCTTAACAGTGACAATATTGGGAACAAAATGCTGCAGGCGATGGGCTGGAAGGAGGGTAAAGGTCTCGGCCGTAACCAGCAGGGCATCACTACACCAATTGAGGTATTCACAACAATCTCCTGGTTTTGGGCTGTATGCAGAAACCATCAGCATTAATAACTATATATATATATATACATTTTAAAAGTACTTAAGTTTGTGGTTTCTCTCCTCAGGCACAGCTAAGAACAAAGGGAGCTGGACTTGGCACTAAAGGCACCAACTATACCCTCTCTGCTTCAGACACGTACAAAGATGCAGTCCGCAAAGCCATGTTTGCTCGCTTCACTGAATTAGAATGAGTCGTTAGTCTCTAGCTCAAATGATTTATCATCATGGCCTTCAGATGATTTCCTTTTTTTTTTTTTGAGGTGGACCACCACGCCTGCATCAACAGTGAATTGGCATGGATGCTCTCCTTTTATTGATACATGATGATAATACCTCTTGCCATAATGGTTAAACCAGACAATAGAAGACATCTGTAATGGGTGGGTGTGTTAAGATAGTGAATAATATTATTTATAAATTGTACATAGTCACAGTAAATTTACTTCCCTTGTTTACAAATCTCTTTTGTGTTAATGACATTCTTTTTTGTCTGCATGTTTTTTGTTTTTGTCTCAGCAAAGATTGTACAGTTTATATTAAAAAAATCTTGTGTGTTTGTACAGAAAATAAATGAGATACATGATTTATGATGATCTTTATTTCAGCACCCTTAAATGTTTTTTATCAGATTATGAAAGTATTAGCAATGAGGCTGTTTATTCTTCATCATGTAATTAGACCAGAAGATGTAGAAATAATCACATGGCATTACCACTATGGCCTGAACTTTGAAAATCTCTAACATAAAACTAGAAAGAACCAGCTTCTGTGTTTACCATGATACACTGGCAGTCGATCTACATGGAGTGAGAATTAATGCTAGATTTAGCAAACAATCTAGATCCATCCTTCAGTGACTCAATGTTTGGACTGCCTTGTTACGGACTCCATTTACTACCTGAGGAGCTTTTGTTCATCTTGTTGGAGCTTCCACTGTGTGTGGTAAGATGTAACACACCTTGAGGAGAGCTGCTCTTGGTACCGCTGTGTCCAGCCATAATACACAGTGAGTGTAAGAGAACTGCAAAGCTTGATTTAGACACAGCAAGGTGTGTGTGTAATCGCATTGTTTTATTTAACAATGACATACCACAGGGAGGCAGTGTTACTTGATATCCCTGAGAAAAGGGTTTTCAAGTCCCCTTTTTGTATTTTCACTTCCCTTCTCCTGTAAATGTTAATTTATCCTTTTTATACTGAAAATATTGACAGGATATTCATGTTGCATCTACTTCAAACATAAAAGATAATCTATTAAAACTGTTGATTTAATTGTCTTTTTATTTCTCACGTAATCGTGTGTGTTAAAAGAATAACCCAGTATGAGCATTTATGGCACAATCTATAAAGTATGTCACTTAGTCAGGGGTCGTCAGTTTACACAATGAAACAGAAGAGGTCAAGGATCTGTGTGTGCAGATAAATTATTTTTATCTTGTCACGCTGGAAAGTTTCTTAAGCTTAAAGCTCAAGTTAAAACACAGCACAACATGCAGAAAGTGTCTTCCCTCTCATTCTCAACTCCTATTTGCCTGTAATCTATCTTTAATGTCATCCAGTGAGGTTACTCTATCAGTATACATTATATTGTTTTAGAGATTTGTCAAATCATTAGTTTGAATGCAGATGGTTAGGAGCCAGTCTTTTAACACACAGTAAGCGATAACACATCTTACAATAACAACATAACCTTAAAGACACTGACCATGCTTGGCGATTAGGAAGCTGAAGAAAAATATGTGTTTGTGTTGCCTCTGTGTCATTTTCGTTTAAAGAGATCATTGCCCGCTGAGTTCAAGGTCTCTGTTTGTGCGTCTGTTTGCCAGAAGAGAGAGATGAAGAGAAAAATAAAGCATCCTGTCAATAGAGAATGAAAGGCTATTATTTACTAGATACTGCATATAAATTCCACTGTGAAGGTGATCAATAAAGGGTACATTCACTTGGGCATGTAAATTATACTGTATGTGATATTGTTCATCCACACAAAGAGGTGATCAGTTTGCTGGCCTCTTTGCTGGCAGCCCTTATATAAACAAAATGTGTTACACAATGGAACATAATACAGTACATCCCTTGGGTTATTTCATGGTGCCTCATCCTTTGATAGTTTCACCTCTCAGGGAGAAATGTTCTGAACCTCACATCCACCTCTGTTATATAAATATATTGTAGCAAGACAGCCTTACTCCTGTGGTCTGAGGTGGAAACTCTGCTGTTATATTCCCATCCCGCTTTCTCAGAAACATCACAAAAACCATCTTCAGCTCGAGAAATATGAGCCACATCCTCCCTCTATGAATGATCTTAGGCAATTATTTTAAATAAACTGTAGACTTGATAAAGAAAAGTTCTGCTCATTGCTTAAGCACGTTTTGGCTGAGGTGTATAGCATGTGTGAGCAACAGGGGGCAGGAGTTCAGGGGAAACACGTTCAACATTTTGAAAAGAAACACCACACCTAAAACCCAGCTGGACAGTAGAATAAGAAACAGTGTATAGTATGTATGTATGCATCCCTCTCATGAGTTGCCATTACATCCAAGTCACAGCTAAGCATCCGTTTTTTCTGGAAAATAAATAACCAGTGAAGGTTAAAAAACCTAAATTGCTTAACAACACTGTAATACTCTCAGCTGTTCTGAAAGTATTTCCAGAATACTGAAAGACTCTTCTAACCGCTTTGATGAAAACATATTGACATGTGTAATTTAGGCATTTCATGGGGCGGCAAGAGCGTGGCATAGAAACCTTTCAGGGGTGTCAGAAACAATGACATATATCACTATTTGCTAGGAAATTCCCACAAATGAAGATATTTTTACTCAAAAACATTACATTATTACAGCACATTGGTAAAGTGTTAAATGAAAATATCTAAAGCTGGTATTAGAAGTCAGTAAATTGCTTTGATTGATTTCTCTCTGCCACGCGTCTATATCGGCCCCTGTTTTGCTGTTTGGGTTTTTGAAAGATTTCCTTTTTGAAAAACAGACGCTTAGTTCACACTGACGCAAATGTAATGCTAAGTTTAGGTGCTAATTTGAGATACATAAATGTATTGTGTGAAATGTATGATTCATATTTTTATCCTGCTTGTCCTTTAACACGGCAGTCATGGTCTGGGTGACAACTTGTGCGCTGGCCAAAGAACGTAAAGACAGAAAGCATGTAAAACTGAGTACCCGCTCCCTCAGTGGATCAAAACGGCTCAATCTAAAGCAACAAAAACATTTTATTTGATTATAGACTAATATTATATATATGAATATTGTATTCCCCATAAAGCCTCTTTGTAGCATCTGAGTACTCGGACTTGCTCAGTTGTCCAGCCACTGTTTATCTAGTTGTACAAGTCTTACAAATAGCCACTAATAAGCAACTCTTCTGGTATCAGGTTATCAGTTAATATTGGTGCTCTTACAATGCTTTTGCCTCTAATGTCAAGTCATTAGTTTGGTCTCCGTCTGTCCATCAGATCTATCAGTCCATCACCCTGAAAGGTCAGAAGGATAGTGTCATTGTCTATAAATATCAAGGTCTGTTTTTGTTGTGAGTTGCCACTACTGCACACATTAAGCCCCTTCTGAACTATTCTGCCTAGATGACCCTGTTGATGGAGGGGTAAATGAGGATTAGAATAATGTAAACTGGTGAACATTAGTATCCTCAAACCTTATTAAGCTGGAATGTCCTGTAGAGGTCGCTAGAAGGGCCACTATCCACTCAGCTGGATTTAGACTAACTTCTGCTTAATGGCTTTTGGGTGAACTTTAAGATACAACATTGTAAAACAAATTGCACAGTTGACATGTCCATGTTCAGTGTGTGTTTAAATATTAGTATTAAGTATTTTAGTTTTAAGTATTTTATTTTACAAAATTCTAGTGGTCAGATAGGCTGTTGTATTTCAGTGTTTGTGTCTTTGCTTTTCTTTGTTACTTGTTCTATTCAATTCCATTCTGATTTTTTACTGGTGACATTTTAGTTTTAGTTAGTTTTTAGTTCAGATTGGTGAACTCACATCCTCACCATGCCATAACCATCATCAGAATAAATCCATACAGTTATTTGTTCAAAAATACAGAGCTCGCTGTGCAACTATGCAATTAAAACCTATTAGTAAATTAATTTATTACACTGTGTTTTATTCTGCCAGAAGCAAAGATCACCTCCTCACCCCCTGATTTCAGTGTCCAGCTATTGTTCTCTCATGAGTGAGCAGCTCTCCACATTCCACACTCTTTAACAGGTGCCAAATCTGAGGCTGCGCCGTGCTGGGAGCCGCTGAGAGAGGCAGAGATGGGAAATGTAGGATCAAAGAAAGGGAAATACAGCATCTCTGTAGCAAAGTGCATGGTGTGGGTGTGAATGGGAGAGAAAAGGAGAAAGCGTGTGTTGTATATTTAACAATCTCATATTTGTCTATTTTAATTCTCACGATTCTTTTACGCACCACATTCTCGCGTGCGTAACGCATTCCCTGTCTCCAGTGCCAATTTCCCCCCTCATGCCACGGACTGGTGAGACACACTGCCATGTTCTGTGACTGCCTTTGTATTTCCCTCACCTATTGCGCGAGCAGTGGCGAAACCTGCAGCGAACAGCGCAGCTATAGGGGGGTTTGTGGAAGGAGGCGGGCCTAATGCGACCCCCACAGTTGTTGCTCCGTAAGGTTTTTACAATGCTCAAAGGTTTTTCTCCAAGCGCATTTCTGTAGCTGCTGGCCTTACAGAGCGACGGTCCGAATGTGCGTAAATTCCCACGAATGCAGACAGTGTTACCTGCACTGAGAGGAAGAAAGAGGGAACGCGTCAGGAGAGAGCGACTCGCCACAGATCATCACATTTATTCCCACTCACCACCAGAGGAATTAAACTTGAAAGCTTCGTGACAAGAACCTTTGGTAAGACTGAATAAATCTATTTTCTTTTAACAGAAAAAAAAAACAAATGTTTGCAGAGTTCTGACATGCTCTTTGTACTAAGTGGTTTTACTGAACGCTTGACGCTTGTTAAGTTGTATTTTAAAAACCTTGGAGATAGTAGGATTTCTTTCACTTGGAATATTGTAGCGCAAGAGGGAAAGAACGGAAACAGATATATAAGTATTTGTAGTTTTTGATCACATGGCACACAATACTAGGGGCATGTGGCTTTGTTCCCTATTGGGGGGGTGATCAATAAAGTAAGAACAGCGTGTTTGGGGCTCCTGCAGTGAGCGCCAAGTCCAGATGTCATGACCATGTGGCTCAAAGAGTCAGTGACAGATTTTCCATCTTTTGTCCGTCCGACTGCGCGTTGAATCCTGAATCTCAGATACACTCTGGATCGAGCTCAAAGTTAAAGTCCCTTTGCAAAAATCAACAGCTGGATGAATGGCACTGGCCCAATGAGCGTCTCACAAGCAGATTTCCTAGTTTCTGCTGAATGTGTGGGCTTTTTACGACCGGTTGTCGGCGTTGAATGAAGGTAATCGATATTTTATTAAGCTTTTTTTTGTTAAATCAATCCTTTACGTGAAGCATTTCAATGCAGTTTACTCAACCTACACCTTAATGTGTTGGTGGTGTCCAAGCCACATGGCATCGAGTGAAGACAGTTTCCTTTTCCTCCTTCCACCAAACACCACATCCGAGCGATCAGGCTACTTACAGTTCAGTTTGTCCAGCATTGACATATTCTGTGTTCAAGGGTAATATTCAGTGGCTTTAAACAACCAGTAGCAGCCTTTTTTAAAGCACTTTGACTTTGTTATTGTCGGCTCAATATACCCATGTGGAGGAAGAGCGCCCTGTGTGGGGCGTTAATGCTGTTCACTCTTTGCTGACGGACCTGTTACATGTGATGGACAGCCTGTAAGTGGCCTGTAAGGTTCTTGCAGGCTGTTTTGGGTAGTGTTCATGTGAATGTGTGCCAGAGATTAGTATGCCCCTGCTGTTTCTTGTCTTGTTTCTCATGCTTTTATTATATACCAGTTTTTCAAGCAACAATGTCAAACACACTTTCCAGATTTGAACAGGGTTGCAGCGATATGAGGTTTTATAGTAAGGTATTAGACCATTATTATTAATTGTAGGTATAACGGTATTACACAATTATTATTATTATTAACATCAGTGAGCTTTAAAGAAATGAAATCAGAAAGTTTTTTTGGTTGAAGATGATCTTTATTATATTTTATTATAACAAAATATTATGTCCTATATTTTAAGAGCACTAATAAAGTAGAATTCAGTACCGTAGATAAGGAACCCTATAACCCTATTGTGGACTGTGAGGATCTGCTGAGTTCCTTTGTCTCATGTGATAGTAAACTGTAAACCTTTGGGGTTTGAACTCTTTCAAAAGCAAAATTACTATGGCCATTTTCACAAAATTATAAGCGAAAGATGAATCATTAATTAAGAAACTAATCAAAAGGCGAATGGATAATGAAAATAACAGTTAGTTGCGGTTCTTTATCCATACAGCTTACACTCTTACACTAGTTACACTGTATGGAGAGTTTACAGGGAACTTTAAAGTCTGTATATGCTAGACTGTTACTCTACTGCAACCGACCTGTAGTTGTTTCTACAGTTGTGTTAATAATAATACTTTACATTTTTAATTTTGTCTAACAGACATATAAATAGTGTTCAGGATGCTGCAGTTTGTTTTTTGCATCTGCATTATGTGTTAACATGTTTAAGGTTGGAAAACAAGTGTGTTGCAGTTTGCTACTTTCAGTCTGACTGACTTGGAAACGGTGGGTGTAGAATGTGAATATGTGCAACAATGGTTAAGATGGTGGCCACTTTAACCCCTACTGGCTTGTATGCAGGTGTTGGGTGGTCATGGAAAAATGTAAAAAAAATGTAATGTAAACTTCAAAGTGTCAAACAAAGTTCAGAATTAAATTTAAAAAAAAAATTGAAGTACCACCCTATTAAGATTGAAAACCTTTAACAGATTCAGGGATACGCATAGACTGTCCAGAGAACTTCCGTCTGTGTATTCAAAGCGGGGTGGGTGAGGGGGTATGTTCTTGACTTTGGCCCCCTATCTAAACACTAACACCCTATATGGGTTTTCATGCTGGGTTCAACACAGTGGAGAACGGGTAGATAAGCCCGGCTGTGGTCAGTGACCCTAGCCTGTGCAGTGATCAAAGTGGCTGAGAGTTTGAGTAGGAGCTGGACAGGTGCGCGGTGTGCGGAGGCCAACGCTTTATCCATGTCGGAGGCAGCCAGCTGAGCTCTTCTGTCACACGGAAGATAATATCTGTGTTTGAGTCAGCCTGAGTGATCAGACACTCTAGAGGATATTATTATCTTTGTCATAGGGCTCAAAATCGGTGGGGTTAAACCTGAGCATATCATGTGCTGTTGTCTATAAATAATTGGAAAGAGTCACCCTTTGTTGATATTGTGTATTCAGATGGACAAATTGCATATATTGAAGTTGGGAATATTTCTCTGAGAGCAGGCACTTTGATTTGGAAATTGTCCTGACCCCTTATGTTTGGTTCATTATGAGAAAGTTCAACTTACATTTTTGTTTGCATTGTGGCTCTCAGTCTGTTCATATAGCCTCTTTTATGCTTGTTTTCTTTAGATTAATAGGTAAAAATGGTACCATCACTCCCATGAGTTTGTTCCCACTGGAGCAATCAGTGCCAGAATATATGCTTTCAAGTTAATATATGCTTCCTAAAAAATCCACTGAGAGCCATATGTTATTATATTTGAAGACTCACAGGAAATAATTCACCATACTTGGCAAGATACAAACTCCAGGGTATACTGAATGTCAGCAACCAGTAAGCTGCGGTATATAAGATGATATATAAGATATGCTCTCCCTTTCTGGACTTTGAATTTGAAACAAAAACATTCAAGTTTCAAGTTTTGACCAGTAAAACCCTGGAATAATACCAAATACACAAGAAAGCAACAGGCAGACAGCTTGCATCTTTTCATGTAAACCTGCATTAACTGCTTTTTTTGGCTATTTTGGGGCAACAGAAACCATTTGAACATCCATATCCATTTGCATCTATATGGCAAACTTGTTAGGTAGCATATACAGTGTGTTCATCTGAGCATTTTCACTGCAAATTGCTGCCGGCTGCAGCCGAAAACAATGCTACGAGAGTCGTGAGAGTGAATCCGCTGAGGTGCAAAGTGGAGTTGGGTGATAATCACTACAACTGAGTCAGAACTTTCACATTCAACATGTGTATCTTTTGTAAAAAGATTATTGTGCGTGTAATTATAAAGACAGACAACATAAAGGCTGACAACAAATAGATATATACAGGTATTGTATTTAGTTTAGTTGTTTTAGATTTAATTTACAATGTTGGTTGTGCAGCCATTTTAAAAACATCGGTTCTCTAAATCTATAAATGTGGCATTTTGGATTGTGTTGACACATTAAGTCAGACCTGTGCCCAAGTGTAAAAGCTGCCTGAAATGCCTGCCTAGAGTATAATTGCCCTCCTGCTGCCAGCTGTTGGTTACCAAGCTATTTCTTAGAAAAATACCCTTCAGCTTGTCACCATCTACCCAGTAATGAAAGTTAACTGACTTCTTATGTAACTAACAAGGGGTGCAATTCTAGTAAACAATTATTCAAACAGCTTCTTTTATACTTCCATATGACCTTCCCTTTTAGTTGATTTTCAAATAAAAGCATCACAATATTTGTATAGTTGCCATTGTTATACTGAATGATGTTGTTTGGTTTTAATGAAAAAAGTTTGTGTCTTTTTTTCCCTATCAGCTACCCATCAAATTCAATGTAGAACCTGCAGACATCTGCATATTATGGCATTATCAACCAAACCTAGATTTACAGATATGCTATTTAATTCATCTCTTCTTTGGAAGTTGAAGCAGAAGTGAATGTTATTGCTCAAAGCTGTCATTGTAGTTGTCCACTGCATTGTAGAGCTACTTCCTTTTTACTTTATTTCTATGATCATTTGAAAAAAATACCTGGAATGCCTCTGCATACTGCAGTCTTGTTGAATTATCTTATGTAGCATAGCGTTACAAGTTTCTCAAAGGCAGGATTTATTGCAGGGTCACTGCTTTGGGCAGGTGTTCCTGGGTTTGTGTCTACGTCCTGTATTCCAGCCATGATTCACGATGGGTCAGTCATCACAATGGTACCATAATCTGTCGTTCTTATGGTTGCCTGAGCTTAAACTAATGACGCAATGAATATGCCAACTTTTAACTTGATCACATCCTAAGGCAGAAGCCACATCTGCAGCATTTGAAGACATTTTCAGCTACACAGGCTGAATTTGATTTTGAATTATTATTTTCCAATATTTGTTTGGAGACTTTTACCCATCGGTCATTCCCTAAAGTTGGGAGGAAAAATAACTGGTGCACTTGCTTCTGTTATTGTTTTATTGAGCAAATAAGCAAACACCGCGTGCCACCTGTTGCCAATATGCACCCTGCATGTTACCTGGATTATTAATAATAAGGATAATGGTAATAGGAGGATTGTCGGGCTGTTTGATGTTGCTGCGCAAATCATCATTTAAATGACAGCTGAGCTTAATATTCTCAGATTTAATGCTTGTGTAAACACAGGTTGTATTAACTGCTTGTAAAACAGCATATTAAATAAATGAAATCTTTGCTCCCTGTTTGCACTAGTAGTAGTGATAGTGATGTTTCATTTTATGATCCCTTTAACGATTCATTTGTTCTGTCTGTGGAAAGGATAGATAAATCCACATCATCCCATGAAGAGATTATATTATATTAAGCATTCGGTTGACTCATTACATTGGATGTGGCCTGTTTGAGATGCCCTCTTCTCTATCCCATATAACATTTATTCACAGCTGCAATGCTTCCAAATCTCACTCACAGTAAACCGTGTTCAGATGTTTTTATTG